AACCCTAAACAACCTTTTGGCAGAGGCCTGGGTGCCTTCTGGAAGGGTGCCGGCGCCGTCCTCATACGAAATACCATCTGCAATGGCGGGATGGTGGGCGGCTACAAGATTCTCTCCCTGATTACTGATTGGTGTAATTAGGGTTTAGGGTTTAGGGTTTAGGATTTAGGGTTTAGGGTTCAGGGTTTAGGTGTTCAGGGTTTAGGTGTTTCAGCGTGGGAGTTGGTTTTAGGGTTCAGGGTCAGGATTTTGGTTTGAGGAGTCAGGTTTTCGACCCCTGCTGACCTTGACACTGCGGGGGGGGGGGGGGGGGGGTCGCCTTTTTGCACCTCAAACGCCGCTTTATAAACCCGAAACCCTAAACCCCGAAACCCTAAAACCTTTAAACCCTAAACCCATCATGAACCCGAAGCTCTTCAACCAACGCTCCATCCAGAGCACGCACCCAGGTTTGCAGAGAAGGCGCTGAGTGCGACCTGGGACATCCCCGATGCGCCTAGGCCTGCCCCCCCCCCCCCCCCCCCCCCAAGGTTTTTTAAGGGTTAGTTAGCCCTAAACCCTAAGCCTAAACCCTAAACCTCAAGCCCCCTGTAACTTGAAATTATTAAGAAAAATCCAAAAAAACCTCCTGGAAACATTCCTCGAATCTTTCCTCGAAACTTCCGCGGACCTGAACCCTTAATAATTTCCATAAACCCTACACCCTAAATGGGGGGTTAGTAGCCCTAAACCCGAAACCCCAAACCCTAAACCCTAAACCCTGACCCATGGCAGGCACATGATGGCAGGCGCCTGCGGTGGAGTCCTAGGATCCTTTGCGACTTGGTTGTGTTGGAGGCAGGGCTCACAGAATTTTAGCCCTAACCCGAAAGTCCTAAACCCTAAACCCTAAACCCTAAACCCTAAACCCTAAACCCTAAACCCTAAAGAGCCTGGCAAGAAAAGGTGAGCTACCCCTTTGAGATGCTTCGTGCTGCGAAGACGTGCCCTGGCGATCTTTGAAAAGGGGTGGCTTTCTAAATCAGGGTCCCCTTTTTGGGTTTAGGGTTTAGGGTTTAGGGTTTCGGGTTTAGGGTTTAGGCGGCACCCTTCAAAAGTGATCCCAAAAAGGGCCCCGAATATAGAGAACTGCCCATATGCTGTTGGTCTTTGTAAGCTTCTGACATCTCTAGAATACTAGGACCCAGAGTAGGCCCTGATTCCTTTTTTTAGGGTCTAGGTTCCCTCATCAGCCTCTTTAAACCAAAAAGGGTTTAGAGTTTAGGGTTTAGGGTTTAGGGTTTAGGGTTTAGGGTTTAGGGTTTAGGGGGATACCCTTGGGTCTAGACTACCAAACCCTAAAGCAAGGGCTCCAAGACCAGTCGAGGCACAACATCTCCTTCATGGACGAGATTGTTGCCAAAGGGCCGAGGCGAATCTTAGCAGGCAGGGCACGCAAAACCCTAAACCCTAAGCCCCAAACCCTAAACCCGGGAGGGTGTAGGCACGCAAAACCTTAAACCCTAACCCTAAACCCTAAACCCTAAACCTAAACCCTAAACCCTAAACTCGGGTTTAGGTGGGGTCAGGGGGAAGGAGTGAACTGAAAGGATGGCTTTCAGGAAGCCCTCCATGTCCCTGTTCGGCCTGGGGTTTAGGGTTTAGGGTTTAGGGTTTAGGGTTTAGGGTTTAGGGTTTAGGGTTTAGGGTTTAGGGTTTAGGGTTTATAAGGTTTAGGGTGCCTACACCCTCCCCCCGCGTCAAGCTGCAAAAGAAGAGGTTGGGCACCCGGTGCCGTGCGCCTCGTGGTGTCCTCGGCCATCATGGGATCCATCATCCCGCACCTCAAGGCAGTTGAGGGTTCAGGGTTTCGGGTTTCGGGTTTCGGGTGTTGGTTTAGGGTTTAGGGTTTAGGGTTTAGGGTTTAGGGTTTAGGGTTTAGGGTTTAGGGTTCAAGGTGGCTTAAGGGGGTTTAAGGGGGTTTGAGGGGGTTGAAGGCGGTTTAAGGGGGTTTGAGGGAGTCTTAAGGGGGTTCGAGGGGGTTCGAGGGGGTTTAGGGGGTTTAAGGGCCTAAACCCTAAACCCACACCTCAAGGCAGCTACGGGGGGTTTTGGACTCGAGGGTTTTGAGGTTTGAGGGTTAAGGGTTTAGGGTTTAGGGTTTAAGGTTCAGGTTTGAAGGGGAAATGGGTTTTAGGGCTTTAGTGTTTTGAGGGTTTGGGGGGTTTGAGGGTTCCAGGGCTTTGGGGTTTAGGGTTTAGGGGCTTGAGGGCTTTAGGACTGTTCAGGGTTTTGAGGGTTCCGGGTTTCGGGCTTAGAGCTTCGGCCAAAGAGCCAACTTTACTTTGGGCTGTAGAGCTTTAAACTTCTCGTAGCGTTCAGGGCAGAAGGGTGTAGGGCCTTAGGGTTTCCGGGTTCAGGGTTTTGGGGAACGGGGCTTAGGGTCAAAGACCGACCTTACAGATGAGCAGTTCTCAAAAAATCACGGGTTTAGGAGGGTTAGGGTTTAGGGTTTCGTGTTGTTCAGGGTTTAGGGTTTAGGGTTTAGGGTTTAGGGTTTAGGGTTTAGGGTTTAGGGTTTAGGGTTTAGGGTTCTAATTTGCTTCGGGGCACCCTCATGGTAGGGAGCTCACCAGATCCTTGGTGAGGGCTGCACAGCTCTGGGGCTTTTGCGTGTCCAGGCTGCCTGGGGTGTGGTGTAAACCGTTTAGAGCCCTAAACCCTAAACCCTAAACCCTAAACCCTAAACCCTAAACCCTAAACCCTAAACCCTAAACCCTAAACCCTAAACCCTAAACCCTAAACCCTAAACCCTAGGTTGGGGGTTTTTGTAGGTAGGTGTTGTGGTGGGGTTGTGGCCAGCTTTTGTGCTTTTAATGAGCTCCGTTCTTGTGTTGTATTCCACGCGCACACGTCCTGCAAAAGAGGAGAGCTTTGCTGGACAAGGCTTGGCTACACTCGAACCACCAAGCAGCCCCAACTACCCTCCAATCTGTGAACCCCAAACCCTAAGCTAAACCCCAAACCCTAAACCCTTGAGAACTCTAAGCAAACCCCCTGCATGGCAGGCCTTCAGCAACTCCCTCGTCATGAAGTGAATCGAACGGAGTCCCTGCAGACTCCCGGAAAAAAGCCCTAGGTATGCGCTGAGGCGTGTTGGGTGGTCTTTGATTCAGGAAATGGGAGGGCTCTCTGAAAGAACATGCGAGTGTTGTTGTGTGAAGGAAGTTGCATCATGGAAGCATCAGTCGCTACTCTTCAGAAACTCCCGTATCGGCACATGTGCTCTTCGGCTTTTGTTGGCAAAGGGTCTTTCATGACAGCCGCAAAACGCCGAAGGGCCACCTTTTGATGATTGTCCGTGACGTTTCTGTCTTCCCTGCTTTGTGGAATGAGCGCTGACAACTCACTCGCTGACAACAGCTCGAGTGCAGTCAGGCCAGGCACTCAGCAAAATAGACTGCAACAGCCAAGATCACGGCACGGGTACAAATTTGAGTCTTGTGCAGAGCTGCATGCGCATCGAGACACCAGCCACCCGGGCTGGCTTCCAGCGCAGTGGAGATGTCTCGCCCTAAACCCTAAACCCTAAACCCTAAACCCTAAACCCTAAACCCTAAACCCTAAACCCTAAACCCTAAACCCTAAACCCTAAACCCTAAACCCCTAAACCCTAAACCCTAAACCCTAAACCGGGAGAGCATCCACGGAACCATTTGGCCAATGTCCTTTAGGTTCACTTGGTGCGCATGGAGTGTTGACGCGATGACGCAGTCATCTCTCCAGACCTGTGCTGTGCTTGCGCAGCAAAAACTGGGTTTAGGGATTAGGGGGGTTTGGGCTTCAGGGTTTAGGGTTTTGGGTTTTGGGTTTTGGGTTTTGGGTTTTGGGTTTTGGGTTTTGGAGTACCATACCTTAATATGTTTTTTGGTGCTGGGTTCCTATTATAGCTACTTACACCTAACAAGGTGTATACTTGTTTTTCCAGGGCCTACTCCGAAGTAGGGAACAACACCAAAGAGCCGTTCCGGAGCTGAACTTCCATGCCCTGTGCCTGTGCTTTAGGGTTTAGGGTTTAGGGTTTAGAGTTTAGGGTTTAGGGTTTAGGGTTTAGGGTTTAGGGTTTAGGGTTTAGGGTTTAGTACATGGGAGTTTCCGAAATTAGGGGTATTTTAAGCGGAATCCTACTAGTTAGGGGTATCTTCGTACGCCCGCACATCCATACCAAGCCCCGCAGCGGATGGATTAGAGTCCTCCAGAAAAGGACATGGATATCGGTTGAGGATTGGCGTTCTCTAGAGAGTCGGCCAATACTCCTTAGTTAAGGAATGTATTCCTGAAAATTGAGGAATGACGAGAGTGAGTAGCACACACAATAACAAGAACCACAGCAATAGCCATAGCCAAGGTCAACAGTCAGAACGCCACAGAAAACTCAACACCATCAACAGCCATAACAATGATAAGGAGAACCCTAAACCCAAAACCCGAAACCCTAAACCCTAAACAATCATCATCGTTGCAGCAAGGCCTGAATATGAATTCAGGTATAAACCTTCGTTGAGGGGGCCCGGAACCCTCAACCCTTAACCCTCAGCCCTCAACCCTCAACCCTAAACACCCTACCTATGGTTTAGAGATTAGGTCTTAGGGTGTATTGGTTTAGGTTTCGAGCTTCAGGGTTTAGGGTACAGACTGCAGGGTGACATTTCAATATGGCCAAAGAGAGCTTGGTGTTACACAGTAAACTTGTGAGCCCATAAGGGTCCCCAACTTGCTTGAAACTCTGAGCCCTAATCCGTGCCCTAAACCCTAAACCCTAAACCCTAAACCCTAAACCCTAAACCCTAAACCCTAAACCCTAAACCCTAAACCCTAAACCCTAAACCCTAAACCCTAAACCCTAAACCCTAAACCCTACGCCTGAAACTGAAACCCTTAACCCCTGCGCCCTGAACCCTAAACTCTAAGCCCTCAACCCCCCCCACCGTAATATGGGGGAACTGGCCATTTCCCGGCAGGTTCCACTTCTCGAAGACGAAGGAGAGCGCGCGGCTCCGAAGGCGCGCCAAGTAAGCCAGGGTTTAGGGTTGAGGGTTTAGGGTTTAGGGTTTAGGGTTTAGGGTTTAGGGTTTAGGGTTTCGGGTTTAGGGTTTAGGGTTTAGGGTGTATTCAAAGGTTTTTCGAGGTGCGCGGTGTGGTACCGTTTTGCCAAATTTCTACTATTTGCTTAAGAACCCCCCAAAAATCACAAGATTATTCCCTATAAGGGAAACATAGACATAGGGATTGCTATTTCTGTTGAGGGGGGTGTGGTTCCACAAAGGCAACCACTCCCGACAAGGGTACCCTATCATATTTATGATGGTTACTGGTACCAAGTCTCTTGCATTGGCACATATATCTAGAAGCGGAGGTCCACAAACTGTCTGCAAAGGACTCCCACATGTTCGCCCATCTTGATATTGTGAGATGAGTACACCCAAAGAGTACTAGCCCCTAACTCTTCCCCCCCTACATGAATTAGGGTGCCCTAAAACCTGACGCACCCTAAACCCTTACATGGTGTTGTGCGAACCGAGCGGTCGAACGGGATGTGGAGAAATCTGCTTCTCCAGTGCTAAGACATACCTGGACCCCTCAAGTACCCTGTTAAGATACCACTAACTTCGGCCCTTAGCCACAGACCCTCAACCCTAAACCCTAAACCAAAACCCTACACCCTACACCCGGTACAGTACACTCAGGCCCTTGGCCCCAAACCTTAAACCCTGAACCTTAAACCCTAAACCTTGAACCCTAAACCCGAATCGGAGCTCTCATCTCTCCTTTTTCGCCTAACCGTCAACCAGAGGTCCCTTTCCACAGGCATGTAGAGCACTTACGTACTTTGTGGTGCTTTGCTGTAACTTTAGATCCTTAGCCTTTTTGGGTTTATTGGGTTTCTTAAGAAGCCAGCTAAAATTTACTTTTTAGCTACCCCCCTTAAGTGCAGCCAAGGGTAGATCTTTCTGCCCTCGTTCAAGGTTTAGGGTTTAAGGTTTAGGGTCTGGGTTTGGGTTTTAAGGTTTAGGGTTCAAGGTTTAGGGTTCAAGAACAGCTTTAGCCAGGGGTTCTGTAATTTGCTCAAAGAAAGGGGTTCTGTCTTCCTGTCGCTTCCTTGTGGCACTACCCAAAGAGTTGTCTCGAATTTGTCTCTCTTTTTTTGCGGTCCTTACTATAAAGGGATCCTAGTATTTGGGGGTTGACATCAGGGGTCCCTGACTATGGTACACCCCATTTGTCTCGCTGCTGGATCCTCCTACGCCCGCCTGGGGAATACACACGGTTTAGTGTTTAGGGTTTAGGGGTTTCGGGTTTTGGGTTTAGGGTTTAGGGTACGTTCTCCTCATCCCCTTCTTATGCAGAAACCCCAGATGCAGACGAAGCCTAAGCGCCTCCCCAATCTCCGCGAGAAGCTGAAATCGCCACCTGAGCCCTTTAACCCTAGGTTTGGTGTCTCGGCGTTTAGGGGGTTTGGTGTCTAGGGGTTTGGGGGGTTTCAGTGATTGGGGGGTTTAAGGGTTTTAGGGGTTTAGGGGGTTGGGGGGTTTAGGGGGTTTAGGGTTTAGTAGGGGCAACTTTCCGACGAAAGGCTGCCGTGCGCCCCCGCGCCTTGGGTCCAGATGGGCCGCTGCCCCTGGATCGGCTCAGCAGCTTAGCCAAGCCCAGGAACAACCACAAGGCCCGCGCAGGGCTTTTAGGGTTTAGGGTTTAGGGTTTAGGGTTTAGGGTTTAGGGTTCAGGACTTTTGGTAGCGGGGGAGTTATATCGGGCTCGGAGCCCGAGTTCCGGAACCACCAACCCTCTAAACCCTCAACCCGGGCTTTCCCGGGAACAGAACCTGCCAGAATGTTCCAAATACCTGAAGCTTCCAAGGCTACCAATTGAGTTGTCCGCTGGCATTCCAAGAAGGCGACGACGCGCATCGAGCCCACAACAGGGTCCTCGGAGCAGAGCTTCACCTTTTGAAGGGTCTCCCACGACAACACCAGCGCTCACCCCAAATCCCAAACCCAAACCGTAAACCCCAAACCCCAAACCCCAAACCCCAAACCCTAAACCCTGAACCCTGAACCCTGAACCCTGAACCCTAAACCCTAAATCCTAAACCCTAAACCCCAATCCTGTGGGCTTTCGCAGGCCCGGAAGCGCCGGCGAGGTCGAAGTGGTCCCGCGACCATGGACCCCTACATGGCCGCTGCCGAGCTTCTCATATTAGGGTGTAGGGTTTAGGGTTTAGGGTTTAGGGTTTAGGGTTTAGGGTTTAGGGTTTAGGGTTTAGGGCAGTTTAAGGTTTAGGGTTTAGGGCTTAGGGCTTAGGGTTTAGGGTTTAGGGGTTTACAGTTTAGGGTGTACCCTTTTGGGGTCCTTATTCCCAGCCGGCGCCGTTGGCTGTAGGTCTCTGGGGTTTATAGCTCTAGGGCTTCGGGTTGAGGAACGCTTTATGCTTGAGGCTGCGGTTGGGCTCTGGTGCTTACAGCCCTAAACCTGAAGGGCTCCCCCTCAACTCTGTAAACCCTAACTATAAACCCCTAAAACCCAATTTAGGTTTCAGAAGGTAGAACTGTAAGAGGTTCAGGGCTGAGAGCTACAAGTCTTCCTTGGCCGCCCAACATACTTGGCCGCTGACGATCCTAAACCCTAAACCCCAAACCCTAAACCTTAACTGAACCCTGCACTCAGCCCTAAACCCTACACCCTAAACCCTCAAGACAAGTAAATAGAAATGGTATGTGATATGATTCTGAATTTCCAAGACGATTTGTCTAAACAGCTGACAAGCAGATTTTAAGTACATTCATCGCAAGCGCCTGGGAGGCCAAATGCTCAATTTACTTAAACCCCTGAGGCCTTCCCTCCCAAAAAGAGTCCCAGGCCAACGAGGGCAGGGAGGCTCCAAAAACATAAGTTAGATTCTCAAAAGTTTTCGCTCAATACTTTCCAAAAATGTAGATTTTGTTCTAAAACAGAAGCTCTCACTTAACAATGGAAGGTTTATTGTAAGGGAATGAACACTGCCCCTCTCAATATGGTCCTTCACCTTTTTCAAAAAGGGTTCTTAAGGATGGACACTTGGGTTTTAGGTTTCTCTGGGATTAGGGTTTAGGGTTTAGGGTTTAGGGTTTAGGGTTTAGGGTTTAGGGTTTAGGGAATGTCAGACGGTGAAGGGGGTGGATCTCTTCACTATCAGTTGGATTCCCGTGTCAGCGCTCAACACCTAGAACCCTGGCGGCCCTGAGCCCTGAACCCTACAAAGCGGTTTAGGGTTTCGGGTTTCTATAGGGTTTCGGGTTTATAGAAATTGTATAGGGTTTGGGTCCAAAAAACGTTGTGACCGAAAGTTCTGACCGAAACGTTTTGACCGAGCTCTTTGGCGTGCATTTTCTTGGAGGGCCGGTGGTCGGGGGCGAAGCCAATTTCCCGCAGCAAGGTCAAAACAGTCATTTTTTAAGTGTCTTCTGAGTTTGGTGCATCCAAGAATGCAGCCTTGGGATATTCAAGCATGGACCTCCAAGCGTGTTCCCACGTGCCCAGAAGGTGGCAACTAAAGTCCTGCACTGCTGCCGCAAGGGTTGCGGGGCTGTTTCCACTCGCGGTGCGGATTATGACGGGGACAAATTCTCGTGGCGAGCAATCCGCTGTTGCTTCGGCTTGTGAAGATGACTGCCGAAGGGCTCGAAGTCCCCGAGCTGCAAACCGCCGCAGAATCGGCGAGGCATCGGATTGCGAAGCAGATGAAACAGATTTTGCAGCCCACGCAGCAGGACCGCGATTACATTCTCTCCGTAGATACACTGCACGTGCGGTCTTGTCTGCGCAGTTGCAGAGAGACTGCAACAGCCGTTTTTGCAGTCGCGGGTCCTAGGCGAGACGGGGTGCTTTTTTGTATGCGATTGAGGCGGGTGCTTGCTCGGAAGCTGCCAACGACAGTTCGAAGAAGCATCCGCCTCCTGCAGTCATTGCTGACGCTTCAGATCTCCTGAAAGCATCGAGATCTGGCTTGAAGCGGAACGCAGAGCGGCCTTCCAAGGCTCTTGCCCAGCTTTTGAAGCTTCCCCTGGATGATCCTTCTATTGATCTGGATGTGGACGCCGTGTTGAACAAGACCGGGGCAGCACGGCTGGAGCAGACTTGGGTGCAGCGACCGGACATCAACCTGTCCGCCGAAGCTGGCGCAAGCTGCCTCCGAGACATGGAGGGGAAGGGATTGCGTCGAAGATTCCCCATGTTCCGCTTTCCGAGCTTGGCCCCTTGGTGGTGCACCGTCTGGGCATAAGTGACCGGACTTTAGGGCGTCAGTGCGGGACAGCAATTTTCGAAGTGCTCCACACGGCAGCAGAAAAGGGAGGATGGTGTCAAAGACCCATTCATTCCTTGCTGACGCTCAAAGACAAGGCGTCGCCGTGATTGAATGGTGCAGGGAAAGTGCAAAAGCGCCATCTTGAATAGAGGGGTAAGTAAACTGAACATTTTGCCTCCAAGCTCGCGAATGCTGAGTAGTGCTTTCGGGTTTGTCAGATCTATTCACAGTGAATTCATGGTCCCGAACCCAAAAAGGTCGCAGGGTCACAGGGGGTTTGCCGGAGCTTCTTGGTCCCAGGGCTTTTTGCTTCAGGCGTTTAGTCAAATAATTTTGGAAATACACCAGATTGCGTGGTGCTGTTGCACGACTCCCTTCTTTGCACTGACACGTGGCATGTCTCTGTCCTCTTTCTATTTTGCTAAATCTTGCTTCTGTAAGCCATCGTAGCTCGATCCTCCCTCGATCCTCCCTTGGAGCTCTTATGGGCCTGTGTTTGCTCCAGCTGCGCGGTGTGACACGTCTCTCGGCTTTGTTCACGCATGCTGTTGAGCCTGGCTTTGACAGTTCCTTTCACCCAACGCGCGGTTCTCGAGGCCCCTTAGCCTCAGCCTTGCAACCTTCCGCGTGCGAGCTACCTTCGTCGTCTTGACCCTCGCCGGCTCCCGCAACCTCGTGAAGACCCCTCTCTTCCCCTTCTCATCTTTGCTCTTCCTTTCTTCTCTCTGGCCAGGCGCGCATCTTCTTCGTGATTCTTCGTGGACGCTCTCGGCTACATTTTTTTTTGCCCTTTCCGCTGGCGCCGGCCCGGCATCCGTGCTTCGCGTCACGCGTCCCCTGCCGCCAAGTCCAGGTGCCCCCTTCTTCATGAACTTCATGCATCGTCTGCGTTGACCTGCGCTCCCGGAATGCTTTTCCGGGTAGATCTCCTTCGTAAACATGCATCAGCGTAAGGATTTCCAGCTTCCCAGCTGCCGGAAGGCTCCAGGTTAAGGATTTCCGGGTCACGGACAGTTTTTCTGCTTCCATGAACCGAAACAGGATAAGGATTCCAGCAGCTGAGCCAATACGTTGAATTTACTTCAACTTGTTGTTTGCACAATTTATTTCAACTTTTTGTTTGGAGGAATAAGGCAAACATGTTCAATACGGTACATGTAGTCCTGCCCATTGGAAAGGAATACAGCACCGTTACTATCTGTGAGCTTGTCGTAATGAAACACATACAATTTTTTATGTACTTTGTTTTGAGGGTTTGGTTTAAGGTTTAGGGTTTGGGGTTTGGGGTTTAGGCTTTTGGGTTTAGGGTTTAGTGTTTAAGGTAACTAAACCCCCTCACGCCATCCAAGGCTTCGATGAGTGCCCAACTCGTGCCCGGGGAGGTGATTGAGGCGCTGCCCCCTCCCCGCTTCAGGTTTGGGGTTCTGGCATCGCAAATTTCATAGGGCCAAGGGGTTCCGGGTTGTAACTGGATCCCATGTTTAGACCTGTCTTAGCTAGGATCCGCCGGCACCTGCATCCATTACACCGTGCCAAGTCCTAGGCTGGTCGGGAGACAGTGGGGAGCGTGTTCATCACCACCCTCAACCCTAAACCCTAAACCCTAAACCCCAAACCCTGAACCCTAGTGGGGGAACCCGATGCAAAAAATCCCAGAAACAGGTTCCCTGCCTTGGCTTTCTTGAGGAGTCTTGGGCTTTAGGAGGGCCTTCAGAGCTTCGAGAGCCTTAGACGTCAGAGGATGACTTTTCATTCACATACTTAATCTCTGCCCTAAACCCTAAACCCGAAGCCAGAAACCCTAAACCCTAACTTCAAAGCCCTAAACCCTAAACTCTTCATCCAGAGGTAGGCTCCGATGACGACGGGGGCCCACCCCAGGACTCCAGTTGTGAGTGGTGCAAAGGTCACCTCTGTCAACCTTGGCGGCCCCAAATCCAACCTAAAACTGGGAGCATATACTCATGAGTACAACATACATATACATATATAGATACACATATACACATAATGCATGTACATATACATATATACATATATATATATATATCTATATACACGTACATGTATACGGGGATATGTTCATTCCTATAAAGCTACTGTTAGCCGGGCAATCCTTTAGGTATACTCCGGTCGGAGGAAGGGAAGCAACAAGGGTCTTGGTCTTAAAGCTAAGGGGTTTGGGGTTTGGGCTTTAGGGTTTAGGGTCTAGGGTTTAGGGTTTCCAACGCCAACGACAAGAGGACTCGCGGCGGACAAAGGCGCGGGGGGTTTAGGGATTAGGTTTTAGGGTTGAAGGTTTAGAGTTTCGGGCACGTAAGATCCTTAGGTCCCATTACCGCAGCACGGCATCCTTTACAGCACAGCTCAGTGCCTACGATCCCTAAGCCCTCAAGCCTCAACCCAAGCCCCAAACTCTCAAACCCCAAGCCCTAAACCCCAGACCCTAAACCCTCGAAATTCCTAGACCACTGAACTCGCTCCTCTCAACTAGGAGACTCCAAGACGTGAAAGAAGTGTGGCTTAGGGTTTAGGGTGCAACCACAAGCCGGCGGCATTCCTGTCGACTTTGTCGCCCTAAACCCTAAACCCTGAACCCTAAACCCTGAACCCTGCTTCGGGGCATGGAGCCGAAGCACAAAGACAAACTCGCGTGAGGACCGCGGTGGGGCCAAACTGGGCCGCAAGAAGCAGATCAAGGCCGGTTCAGGGTTTAGGGCTTAGGGCATAGGGTTTACGGTTTGGGGTTCCTTTACGCCCGTTCGTTGGCGGTCAGGCTCCCTTTAGGGTTTACGGCCTCTTCGCTTTAGAGGGTTTAGTTTAGGGTTTGGGGCAAGAAGGCGGGAATCCGTTTTTATTCCTAAGCAACTGGGCAACCTGCAACTAAATCCTAAGCGCTAAACCCTAAACCCTAACCCCGAAACCCTAAACCCTAAACCCTAAACCCTTCTATGATGGCTTTGGGTGGCCATTCCGGCTTAGGGCCCTGAGATTCTGCGTCTCTAAGGACCCTAAACCCTCAACCCTGAACCCTATAAACACTGAACCCTGAACCCTAAACCCTAAACCCTAAACCCTACCTGCTGGTTGCTTACGCTACTGGGTTTTGGGGTTCAAGACCTTGGGGGAAGCTATTTGGTTTAACTTCTTTGGCCCCCTTTGCTGGGGCAGGCTCGCGGCTTCTCCAACGAGGCGAAGACCCCAAAACATGTTAGGGTTTAGGGTTTAGGGTTTAGGGTTTAGGGTTTGGGTTTAGGGTTTAGGGTTTAGGGTTTAGGGTTTAGGGTTTAGGGTTTAGGGTTTAATGGTTTACGCACTCTCAGTGCGCCAGGAGGAGCTCCGGCTGCAGCTCGAGAGAAAGCAGAATGAAGTTCAGGCGCGAAGCCCGGATCATCGTCCCTTCCGGGGGTTAGTTAGGGCTTGGGGCTTAAAAGGGCTTTACCTTTTCTACCCTAAACCCGAAACCCTAAACCCTAAGCCTATAGGCTATATAGGGTTTAGGGCTTCGGTCCTTAAAAGAGGAGAGCGCGGAACCCCTACCCCAGTGTTTTAATTAAGGCTTAGGGTTGTGAAGGGCTCCAAGGCGCAACGAGAACATCTCACTGCTTCAGGGGTTGTAAGACTTCGGCATACGCCTAGAAACCAGGATGTTCGGCTTTGGTTTGAGGGCGTAGGACTTTGACCCGGGGTGGGGGCGGGTCTCTGCCAACTCAGTTGCCCTAAACCCTAAACCCCCCAAACCCTAGGGGAGGAACTCTAAAACTCCACCCCCTTACCCCCCCCGCGCTCCCCAAAACACGCACAACAACACATCTTGGAGAAAAGGCTCTTCGAACCAAGCTCAACCAGCTCGACACAGGGCAGGCTGGATGGGCTTAGGGTTTAGGGCTAAGGGCTTAGGGTTTAGGGTTCAGGGTTTGGGGTTTAGGCTTGCCGTGTGCGCTCTAGTGCTTGGAAATCATCGGCCGTCAGGGCCGTGTGTCCTCAGCAACTCCACCAGACAAAGGGCAATTTGCAGAATGACAGAGGCCCCATGCTTATTACGAATGCATGCAGCATGGAGTCGTACTAGTGGGAATCAAGTATCGCACTACTACTCAAGTGCCATAGGGTCTGTGCGAATGTCGGGCGTGTAGTCCCATAGTCCTCCCGTCATAGCTGCCCTGAGACACAGGGCATTCTCATTCATGGACATTGATACAATGGCCAAGACCAAGTCACAAGCCTGATCATCAGGTTTAGGGTTTAGGGTTTGGCGTTTAGAGTTTAGGGTTTAGGGTTTAGGGTTTAGTACGATTCTCTGTAACCCCAAACAGCTTCAAGCCCCGCCCTACGCGGCCAGCATGAGGCGCCTTCGCATTTGCCTGTGAGGCACCGCAAATGTTCGATTCACAAGTGGAGGTTACTTTGGAAGCAGGCGATGTAGTGCTTCGAGTTGAAAGTTTCGGAACTTAGGATCCTGGGCTGCTTGAAGAACCCTGTGACAAAGCTTTTTTTGAGTTGCATGCAAGCCCCCGGGTCTTGGCGCCATTTTGGCTGTTTTTTGCCGACTATGGCAGAAATCTTAACTTCGGTTAGGTTTTAAAATGCTAGTGCTGCTAGAGCCGATGCATGTTGCAGGGCCTAGGCTCAGGGGAGTCTCAGATGTATGTGCCGCCTGACTGGCGTCCACCACACCTGAAGAACCCTCACCCCACCTACAAAAGCCACGTTTCCCAGTCACTGAGTCTAGGAATATCTTGCGAGTTTAGGGTTTTGGCTTTAGGCATCCTCTTGCACACGCGCGATCCTGCAGCTGTAGGGATATTGCCTCTGAGGCTCAGAACCTCGGTCTTAAATGGACCCTGAAAATGGTTTAGGGTTTAGGGTTTAGGGTTTAGGGTTTAGGGTTTGGGGTTTAGGGTTTAGGGTTTAGGGTTTAGGGTTTAGGGTTTAGGGTTTAGGGTTTAGGACCCTGAAAATTGGGAGCAAATAAACTCTACTACCCGAATCCCTATTCGGGATTTTGGGGAGGTAGTGGTTGCGCAAGTACTTTTGCTGCGTAGAGGTCTGAGTTGAACATCTTGCCGAGGGTTTCTATATAGGGCCAAGTCTTGTAATTGGAGGGTTCCCGGTTTAGGGCCTGTGGTTTACTGAGGTTAGGGTTTCGCCAGAACCCTAAACCCTAAACCCTAAACCCTAAACCCCAAACCCTAAACCCTAAACTCTAAACCCTAAACCCTATGGCCATGCCAGGAGGGTGGTGATGAGATCATCGAATGATAGCCGTGCGCCTGGCGCCACTTGCGGAGGGCTGCTCTGGGTGGTGGTCGCGACAAGCTTAGGGTTGAAGGGTTTAGGGTTTAGGGTTTAGGGTTTAGGGTTTAGGGTTTAGGGTTTAGGGTTTAGGGTTTAGGGTTTAGGGTTTAGGGGTTATTGAGGGTTGAGGGTTGAAGGGTTTTGGGTCGAGTCTCCGAAAATGCCAATACAAGGGCCCTTCTTTACTGCAAGGGTTGGAAGAATTGCTGAAAATACTCTCTTATGGTCCCCATGCACTTATACTATAATGATCCCCAACACCCTATTCTAGATTCTAGTTCTTCAGGCCCCCTAAATTAAACAGTCTCCAAAGACTCAATCGCTTCTAACTCCTTCCTTGCCGTGGGAGGATCGAAGCTGCCCAAGAGACCAAGTCTAGGGTTTAGGGTTTAGGGTTTAGGGCTTAGGGCTTAGGGTTTAGGGTTTAGGGTTTAGGGTTTAGGGTTTAGGGTTTAGGGAACTCAACAAGCCCCGAAGCCCTAAACCTTAAACCCACATTAAACGGCACCCCTATCAGTCCTTTGATCAAACACTGCCCTGAAACCCTAGACCCTAGTCCCTCATCAAGCGGCCTTTTTATCATGGGTTTCCCTTCCCCTCTATACAAACCCCAGGTTCTTCCCATAATTCAGGCTACTTAGGATAATTCAGTGTAGTTCAGGTTGACGGGGGAACCTAGGGGGAGGGTGAAGTATAGAGGGAGGACGCAGGGAAACCCATGATAAACCCTAAACCCTAAAACCCTAAACCCTAAACTCTCAACCCTAAACTCTAAACCCTCTAGAGGCGGAAACCCCTGATGTTCTGAAAACCTCAACCAGATCCTGCCAGGCATCGTTGGCATGGCAGAAACCCCCGAGGCATCGAGTCGACGTTGCCGCAATTTCGGGGGTTTGGGGATTAGACTTAGGGTTTAGGGGTTTTGGGTTTAGGGTTTAGGGTTTAGGGTTTAGGGTTCAGGGTTTAGGGTTTAGGGTTTAGGGTTTAGGGTTACATGAAATTCGGGTTGTGCAACCCTTTAAATCACTACATGGTAAGGTTTAGGTTCAGCGTGGGGGAGGGGGCGTCGGGGGAGGGAGTTGCTGCCTAGGGGGTAGGGTTTAGATGTACTTTGCATTTCGACGCCCCCTCACAGTGGTTTGGCTATGGTCGTTCAAGAGTTCCAGATACTGCGCATGAAACCCCCAAAACCTAGACCTTAAAACCCTAAGAACCCTAAAGCTCGAGATCCACAAGCCCTGCTGCAAAACCCTAAACCTAGAACCCAAATCCCAAGGCCCAAAGCCCTGAAGCGCTGAAACCCTTTCGCCCCTGCCTTCTGGTGCTGGGAGCCCGGTCGCCTTGCCCGGGTTTTTAAAGGTTTAGGGTTTAGGGTTTCGGGTTTAGGGTTTAGGGCTTAGGGTTTAGGGTCTAGGGAACCATCTCCTGTTCATCTTCAAAGACGGCTAGGGCAGAGGGTTTGGGGCGAGGGTTCTCTGATAAGTTCATTACGCGGGCAGTGGGGGCCTTTACAATTCTTGATGGTTGGATTCAGGTTGTTTCATTCTCCCAACCTTCCGGTCATTGCCGCAGACCTCGACTAGAAGCCCGAAGCCCCGTTCCACAGTTCTTTTAGAAGGCGGATGCAGCATGCGTATCAGATTTCATGACCAAGAGAAGCAAGCTGCGCA